CATACGGAGTATATATCTCCTAATTGATACGATATTCCCGGGCTTGTGATTCCTATCATGATTTCCTTGATAGAGGATTGCTGCTCACAAGGAAGCTATTAAACCAAGAGTTCCAAATAGTGAAGTTGAAGTCATCCCTTCGTAAATTTTACGGACGCCATCACGAGTTGGTTGACCGTTATGGAATAACCGTTTCACAGATGATATCGGATATGTTCCTTATGTCGTAACTACAATACCCTTCCCTTTTCACGAATGTGACTTACCGAATTAGACTATTTACCGGATTTGTAATAACATAAGCAACTCGACGGGTGCCACATGTGGAGCAGGATCTGCTTACCCTTCCGGAGCACCTGAGATCACCCCCAGGTTTTGGTGGGGTTCGTGTTGCTTAGTCTTTAGTTTTCTATGTTGTGTCATCTGTACTATTATTTGTCTGTTTGTCTTTTTATTTTTGGCCATGACGTTGTCAGTTTGTTTTCGATCTATGAGTTTGACTGTCCCTCTGGTATCTTTCGTCCCTCTTTTAGTTAGTGCAAGATAGATAGAACTTTGCCTTAATTGAAACTGTTATAGTCCCTTTACTCTGAAATAGTAAAGCAAAACTAATTAATGGAAGCTTTCATCTGGCAATCCAACTGTTGATTTGGTTAATGAGAATTTGTAAAAACAAACTTGTTCAAAGTGCTGACGAACGGACGGACGGAAAATAGTATACCATAATACGCCCCATCTTTAAAGGGCGTATACTATACTGAATACCTGATGTTCAGTGGTTGTTGTTTGTTGATGTGGTTCATAAGTGTTTCTTGTTTCTCGTTTTTTATATAGATTAGACCGTTGGTATTCCTGTTTGAGTGGTTTTACACTAGTCATTTTTGGGGCCCTTTATAGCTTGCTGTTCGGTGTGAGCCAAGGCTCCGTGTTGAAGGCCGTACTTTGATCTATAATGGTTTACTTTACAAATTGTGAGTTGGATGGAGAGTTGTCTCATTGGCACTCATACCACATCTTCTTATATCTATGAATGACCCAATGGCGTTTAGTGAATTGGTATATTTCCATAGATTTGTATGAGAATCAATGTGAACCGATTTTGCTGCTTTCAATTTGCATTTCAAATAATAGAAAGAACGATGCCATTATTCAAACATGAACTAATTGTTTTTCTCCAGACATTGAGAACAAACCAATTATAATTCATAAGCTCTGTGGCATATCGTATGAGTTGAGAGACAAAGAAATGTCTAATGTCAAATTAAAAATTCTTCTTCTAGTCCGAAGGTGATCACTGATAATGCATCAAACTATGAGACGAATTAATCCGTACTTTCGCTTCATTTACAATACCGAAGGATATATTAATGTTAGACAATTCTGGATAGATTCTGACGGAAAGACATCCTCAATACATCAAATTCTGTGTGTAAGACAGACGTTTTCATTTCTTACTATTTTATCGTTGACGAAGTCTGACTTATAATGATATACAAACTGGTCAGAGGATGACGCTATATGATTTGTATATGCAAATTGTTCAGAAAAAGTCACAATCTGACTAGTTTTTAATGCCGATAAACCAATGAAAAATTCCAAATAAAAAAGATATAATTCAAGTATTTATAGTATTTGAATATATTTGTTGCTGCCCTCTATATATGTTGTTCTAAATTTGTAGACCTCAGGAAGGGAAAGTATCTGTAAATGATTGATATTGCTCTCTATATATCTTTTCTAGGTTTGTACCACTCAGGTAGGGACAGTATTTGTATATGGTTGTTGTTACATTCTGATCGTTATGGGTTTGTAGACCACAGGTAGGGATAGTTTTGTATATGATTGTCCCCCCCCCCTGTATATCTTTTCTGAATTTGTAGACCACAGGTAGGGAAAGTATTTTTATATGATTGTTGTCCCCCTCCATATATTATTCTGGGTTTGTATACCACATGTAGGGATATCATTTGTATATGATTGTTGTTGTCTTCTGACTCTGTGTATTGTTCTTGGGCTGCAGACGGCAGGTACGTATAATATCTGTATATGATTGTTGTTGCCCTTTACATATCATTTCTGGGTTTGTATACCACAGGTAGGTATAATATAGATGTTTCTCGTTTCTTGTTTTTATATAGATTTGACCGTTGGTTTTCCTGTTTGAATTGCTTTACACAAGTCATTTTGGGGCCCTTTATAGCTTGCTGTTCGGTGTGAGCCTAAACTCCGTGTTGAAGGCCGTACTTTGACCTATAATTACTTTTTATACATTGTGACTTGGATGGAGAGTTGTCACATTGGCACTCATACCACATCTTCTTATGTATATAGTATCTGTATATGATTGTTGTTTCCCTCGATATCTCATTCCTGGGTTTGTAGACCACAGGTAGGTATAGTATCTGTGAACGTTTGTTGCTGCCCTCAATATATTTTTTCTAGGTTTGTTGACCTCAAGTAGGGATAGTATTTAAAAGATTGTTGTTTCCCTCTATAAATGTATATCATTTCTAGATTGTAGACCACAGGTAGGAATATTATTTGTATATGATTGTTGTTGAGCTCTTAAATATCATTTCTAGGATTGTAGACCACAGGTAGGGCTAGTATTTGTACATGATTGTTGTTGCCCTATATAAGCATTTTTGGGTTTGTAGCACACAGGTTGGGATAGTATTTGTAAAAGATTGTTGTTTCCTTCTATATATTATTTCTAGGTTTGAAGACCACATGTATGGATGGTATTTGTATATGATTGTTGTTGCCCTCTGATCTTCCTGGGTTTGTACACCATAGGTAGGGATAGGATTTGTATATACTTTGTTTTGCCTTCTATATATTATTTCTGCTTTTGTAGACTGCGGGTAGACATAGTTTTTGTATATGTTTGTTGTTGTCGCCCTCTATATATCTTTTCTAGGTATGAATTGTATTTGTATATGATTGTTGTTGTCCTCTGTGTATTGTTCTTGGGTTGTTGACGGCAGGTAGTGATAGTTGCCCTTTGTTAATCGTTCTGGGTTTGTAGACCACAGGTAGGGATATTATTTGTATATGTTTGTTGTTGTCCTCTGTGTATTGTTCTTGGGTTGTTGACGGCAGGTAGTGATAGTTGCCCTTTGTTAATCGTTCTGGGTTTGTAGACCACAGGTAGGGATATTATTTGTATATGTTTGTTGTTGTCCTCTGTGTATTGTTCTTGGGTTGTTGACGGCAGGTAGTGATAGTTGCCCTTTGTTAATAGTTCTGGGTTTTTAGACCACAGGTAGGGATAGTATTTGTATATGTTTTTTTGTTGTCTTCTGTGTATTGTTCTTGGTTTGTTGACGGCAGGTAGTGATAGTTGCCCTTTGTTAATCGTTCTGGGTTTGTAGACCACAGGTAGGGATAGTATTTGTATATGTTTTTTTGTTGTCTTCTGTGTATTGTTCTTGGGTTGTAGACGGCAGGTAGTGATAGTTGCCCTATGTTAATCGTTCTGGGTTTGTAGACCACAGGTAGGGATATTATTTGTTTATGTTTGTTGAACCCCTTTGTATATCTTTTCTTGGTGTGTAGACCACAGGTAGGGATAGTATTTGTATATGTTTGTTGTACCCCTTTGTATATCTTTTCTTGGTGTATAGACCACAGGTAGGGATAGTATAAATTATGTTTGTTGTTGCCCTTTTTATATTTTTTTCTAGGTTGTTGTTTAGAGTTGCTGTTTCATTAGCATGCACCTATCATATCTCTTTTATTTATCAAAATGATTAGACTTGAGTTCATTGTGAAGTCTATGAGAATTAAATATGCCTATTTGTATTCGTTACGCTGAGAAACCTACGTACTTTTATATATTTTCAATCACTGGAAAAGAAATAACATAGTTGATTAGCACTGACATTTCCGTAATTACACGTCATAGCTAGTTTTATTGTTTAGCCATGACATCCGTAATTACATGTAATAGCTAGTTTTGCTGTTTATTCTTAAAATGTCCGATCTTCCAAAGCGTCAACAGATTTAATTCGTTTTCGTACAATTCAGAAAAATATTACTTTAGGCTTTCTGTCCGAAGGTGAACAGTTTTTAATTCAGAATAAAATTATCAATGTATTTCGTGGAAAATAAATTAAGTTAAAAAAAGTTGATAGCAATTATTTGTTGGATACAAAACTAAAGTTATTACAGTCTGTACAGACACTTTTGCAATATGATTATGAATAAATAAAAATGGAATTTTGTATAATTTAGAATGCTTCTAGGGAATCGTATCCTATTTTTCCTTTTTGTTTTATTTATTTATGTTTGGCTACGTTATCATAATCTATCATACTAGGAAGGTTTACATTTTGTAATATATCTGGGCCCGTATGCATAAAGCTACTTAAGTTAAGATTTGTTCCGAACGGACGGATTTTTCTTCATGTCCTACGATAAATCAATATTACGATTGGTTATCTTAACTTCAGTCGCTTTATGCATACGGGCCCTGTAGTCAAACTGATAAGTAGTCAAAATCAATATTAATAATTCTGTATTGCTGTGGCCGTATCGTTTCACAACTTTTATGTTTAACTAGAGTTTTTTCATGATGAATATTGGCAGCTGACTATCGTCTCATCAAAGTATAAAAACATATTCTCTGTTTTAGGTTGTTTGTCTTGTGGTGTCCTCTATGTTGGCGATTTTTGAAGTTTGTTGTTTTAGTAAAGCTTTGAATCAATGTCTCAAAAAAAGTAAAATAATAAAAATACCGAGCTAAGGAAAATTCAAAACGGAAAGTTCCTTATCAAATGGCAAAATCAAAAGCTCAATCACATCAAACGAATGGAAGACAACTGTCATATTCCTGACTTTGTACAGGTATTTCCTTATGTAGAAAATGGTGGATTAAACCTGGTTTTATAGGTAGATAAAACCTCTCACTTGTATGACAGTCGCATATAATTCAATTATATTGACAACAACGTGTGAGCAAATTTTCATGGTGCAGAATTATGGAAAACAAAAAGATCTAAAGTTACACAGTTTTTTTATTTCACAATCAACATAATCATATACCATATTTTAACATTGAAAATCACAAACATAAATAGACGAATAAAATGTGTTATTTTGAGAAAGCAGATTTGTTATACAGTTACATGTTTGTGAAGCTGGGAATTTGATGGATGACAACGTATTTCAATTGATCCTTTCATTTAATGGAGAAACTTTGAGTCTTCTGATGATGGTTCATTTGAATTCTGATAAAGCCGTCTCTTTATAGAACGATCAGTGCACAGTTTCCTAAAATGTAACAACAAAATGTTCAGTGAATCGCAAGAATACATGCAGAGACCTCAAAATGTTTGGACTACATTATTTTCATAAAACATTCGAATATTATATATGTATGACAGAAGAGAAGGAAAGACTAACATAAAAACCAAAGACACACGTACATCTAAACAACAGAACATACAGATTGACTTTTCATCTGATTAAACCAGGAATAAAATCAATTACCCCAGAAGGTTAATCACATCCTGCCATACCCGTGCTATTGTTCTGAAGTCAAGGCTATTAAACTTTGTGTCATATATGTTGTTAGATATGACAATATATGTTAATACGTAAGAGTTGTCATGTAAAAAGCGCTATTAAATGTGATGAAATGGAATGAAACCGTTACTATCACTAATATAATATATGAACTAATTCACCAAACATATGTATTTATACATACATGTTGGAAATATTTCCCCTTATATATGAACCTGTCAGTTGTGATGTTTTAATGTTTTTTTTTTTATTTGAGCGACTGTTTACAACCAACAGCAGTGACTATCTTAACTAGCTTCCTGCAATAACGAGCACATTTATAGCTTTCGAAATTATGTACCGTCTTTTATTGTTCAAGTTTGTCGTCCTTCTGTTAGTAGCTGAACTGTGCAGGTTTTCTTTTGTTATTATGTTTACGTTTAGATTAGAGAATGGAAATGTGTAAAAGAGACAAAAACCCGACCAAGGAGCTGAAAAAAGCCCAAGACCACCAATGGGCCTTCAATGCAGCGAGAAAATCCCAATCCCGGAGGCGGGCTTTAGCTGACCCCTTAACAATAATGTATACTAGTTAAGCGGCAGGATGCCACACTAAACCCCGAAACATTCAAATGAACCAATATTGAAATAGAAACAAACAAGACTAACAAAGTTTGACGACATATGATTAAGATAGGTAATTAAAAGGGGAGGTTTACGAGCACATTTAAACTGTATTAACCACATATCATTGTGTGTCTTAACCAAAATAAGGCTATATGGACCACGTGTGCATTGTTGTTAGTCTTTGTTTGTACTTATCGGAGGATTAGGATGTCGGTGGTTGGTGTGGTCTGCTCTACTGGTAATTTCTATTTACCGTTAAATGCATTTATACATAATTTATGCCATGAATACAAAAGTCCATTATTTACACAAATGATTACATTCACATATTAAATTTAACAACATATTATGTTTCAACAAACAAACTATTCAGAGACCAAACGTTTAAAAATTAATTAAAACATTTATATATTCTTAACTGTTTCACGATTTACATCTTGTTATTTTTAAGGCAAATCATTCCAAATTCGTTCACCGGAATACATTAATGTTTTTTTTCTCTCATAAAATTTGCATTTGGCTTTGTCAGGCGTAATCTTTGTGTTAATTGAACTTAACTAATAATTTGGGAATTTACATATTGAAAATTTTCTCTAAAAATAAGGAGCTGTTAATCCATTTCAAGATGTTAATTCCAAAATAGTTTTTTGATCGGTTTTTAACTTTCTTCTCGATATTAAGCCTTGTAAACTATTATATAGTAAAGATGAAGGTGTGGTAATATCAGCTTCTAAAACAGCCCTCGCTTACCTCGCTAACTTTGTTATTTGATACTTACTCTGTAACAGTGTCCATTTTGACATTAGCTGCATAGAAGATAAAACAGATTACATTAATTATTGACAAAACGAAAAGCTAAGGGGATTTGTACAATCAGAGGCTATAACTCTTAACGTAATCAAAACATTGAGGAAATACAAGTAATCAAATATGAAAATAAGAAGATGTGGTATGATTGCCAATGAGACAACTCTCCACAAGAGACCAAATGACACAGAAAATAAAGTTTACAAACATTTTAAAGATTGACAGATTACATTCCGCACCTGTTGTGTTTTTACTGAATCCTTGTAACTAGTTCAATACAATTTTGAACTTATCATTTGAAAAGTATATTTTTCAAAAATAAGAACAAACAAATAACAGGAATACTATTTTACAAAATTGATAAAGTACTGCCGCAATTTGATAATAAAAAATTGTTAAATACAGCCAGGTATACCGTCAGTTGATATGTCTAATAGTTTTGTGCAAAAGCATTATATCTATAAAATCGCTGGTTACACTATTGATGCCCTTTGATTGAATAATTAAAAGTTGATATCATCTTTTCTCAATTGCATTTTCAATAAGGTATACCACAGACACAGTTAGGTTTATTTCATATCTTGATTTACCTCTAGAAAAAAGTAAAATAACAAAATTACCGAACTCCAAGGAAAATTATCAAATGGCAAAATCAAAAGTTCAAACACATCAAACGAATGGAAAACAATTGTCATATTCAAAAATTCAAATTGACAGTTTATTATAATAGTAGGTTTATTTCGGACTTTTGTCAAAAATGATATATTTTGTCAACTAATAGAAATACCTATTGCTTCTCTAACTACCAGGTTTTTGTTTTATTTCATTATATCAAGAAACGTAGACAGTCTAAAATAACTTACACGACAAGAAACAAGCATATTGATACATTCATTAAGTACAAAGATTGGAGGCAACCTTTCAGATGATCAATACAAACAATTTATCATCTGTATTCTTCATGGATTTCACAATAATTAATCCTGTATAGTGTGACAAAAATTAAGGTAAGGTAGGGTGAACGCTAGTATTATGAATCCTCGATTTATCCCTTATGTTTTATTTTGTGAACCTTTTCAAATATGCATTCCATTCCAATATGTGAAAACGATAAGTAAAGCAACGAATTATCAAAATGAAAAAAAATAAAAACCACTGATAAGAATTAAAAGGGAAATGATTGATATCTTAAAAAACCAAAAACAAAACAACACCGTCTCATGTTCATATATATGTCCCTAACCGTCCATAGTTGTCATTTGCTATTTCTTAATATTCTTTGTCCTTTGAAGATTTTCCTGCTGATAGGATAATAATCTTTGGAAAACCCATTAAACTTTTTTTTACTCAGGACAATCTAAAGCTTGATATATTCTATACAAACATGTCTATTGTTGCAGAACGTATGATAACGTCATACTGTCTTTTGGGTTTTATGTTTTATTGCAGTAAACGCCGCATCTGTTTAACCCGACCACTATTGTGCATGTACCAAGTCAGGCTATCTGGACCATAAGTTGTTCGATGTTGTTTATTTTTGTTTGTTTGTCTGTTTATTTACGAAGGAGTTGGGTGTTAGTGGATTGTGTGGTCTGTTGTAATGTGCGGCATATCTGACCATTTATCCCTTTTTATTTTTTATTCATGACAAAGACACATTACAGGAAAGATAATTATAATGTGAATAAAAAGCAAACTGAATGACAGAATATGAGAAAATATCTCTGATAAAATGCTTTTAGAAAATTAAAAGAAAAAATGGTGCACCGTACCTTTATTCTTTGTATTATGCAAAATAGACAAAATTACTGTACATTCCTTTACAAAATAAATCATCTGAGAAATCTCACCTTATACTGCTTATGTGAAGAAAACAAAATTGAATCAATTCATACATATTTTGGAAATATTAAACCAGTCGTAAAAAATGATAATAGAACAAATTATACAAAGTCGTACAAATAAATTGCCTTCCTGCCACAAAGCGAAATTGCAGAAAAAAAAAAGAAGTTAAACTAGAAAAGCCTTTAAAAATTATGTTAATTAATTAATGAATGAACATGTTAATACAGTCTGGACACTTAAGTGCACACAGTTTGATATTTTTTATGTGACTGTGATAAAATATTGAAATTGCCATATCTGACATAAATTGACTACTAACAATAGATTTTTGACAAAATAAAAATGAGCAAAAGCCGTACACAAAAAGATATTTTACACAAAATAACATCTGTGGAGAAGACATCTTGTTATAAAATATATTATTGGGTAAACCTGTTTGTCATATCTAAATATTGATGACAAAATCTCAAAATGAGGCTAATTTGACAGTTTATGCATTTTTATTCACTAAATTCAAGAAGTTTGAAGCCCAAGTGTTAATTTGTAAGCAAAAAATTGGAAGATATGAATATTGATGTCTGACAAACTAATGTCTTATGAACATCAGAAGAACCGTATTGGGTTGATTTATGATACTTTTTATTTTTTTAAAATTGAATTTGCAAAAGCAGTGGCCTTATTTTACCTTTTACTTTGCTTATTTCATTAACTTAAACAATTAAGATATTTATTTAGTTAATTGTTAAGTGTCTAGCGGTCTGTTTCGGTGGTCGTTAAATGACAGCTTCTTTGGGAATCAGACAGTTTTAGTTGTCTTTGACAATGAGAAAAACCCATACCGTATGGTCGGCTATAAAAGGCCCCTACAAGAAAAATTTGAAACAATTCAATTCAGAAAACTAACGTAGCATATTTCGTGAAGTTTTATAAAGTGAAGATAGTAATTAATTGTAAACTTTTACACGTGGTAAATGATAATCAACCTAACGATAAGTAGTCTTTTTTGAAATTTTACTTCGTGTCGGTCAAGTAAACCCCCGCGTGCCTCAGATAGCAAATTTTTGAAGGCATTGAAAAGGCTTTTATTTGACATATGAAATGGCATTGAGATTAAAATTAATCAACCACTTCATATTTAAATATGCTTTAAATGTTATTCATAAATGAATGAAATAATAAATTCTGCGTATTTTAAACAATACAGAAAAGTAATTTGTGATGCCACTTGGGTATTTGTTTACGTCATTTGGGCGTCATAAACATGTAATAATTGAAACAATACTGACGTGTTGTTTTAGATTATTAAATATGGTCATTTGTAAACGACTTGTACTTTCTTTGTCTGCAACGAACAATATTACCTTATTCGTAATTATGGTTGTAGGAACGGAAACAATATATGTTTTAACGAAAGATATCAATCACGTATCAAACAATTATTGTTTACAAGAATGAACATATTTTTATTAACTAGATGACTATTTGGAGCAAACAAAGGAAACAAGGAAACATTTTGAGCTGACATGACTTATTTATTAAAACTAAAGCAATCTTTCAGCATTTCTGTAATTCACATCAACTATCATTAAATCACCTAATTAGAACAAGACTCGACTTCTTCCTTCATAAGTGTCAGCTAAAGATTGAATGGTAATATTAGCAAACTAAAGTTTTCTGGAATTTCATCAAATAAATGAATTGATCAATCATCAATCATCAATGAAATAACAATTTCCAAAGTGTCGTGTAACAAAGTGGCATCAAAAACAAAGGATTATCTAACATAGTGCTTCATTTTAAAGTGTTTGATTGAATTCAAGGGAAACACAAACTCCGTTTATTTCTGATGACTATTTTTACGAAGATGAACTTTGATATTTGTAATCTTTTATGAAAAATGATTAAAACATGAATTTTCCAAATTGTTTTACATCAAATTCAAACGACGATTTTGTTAAGTATCTGCTGTAATTTTGAGCATCTTTTTTTGTACTCGTCTGCATACTTTTTATCTAGTTGTATGATTGCCAATGAGACAATTAGACACCAGAGAACAAAGAACGAGGATGTAAACAATTATATATTGTTCAACAATGAGTAGAACCCATACCGCACAGTAAGCTTTAAAATGCCCCGACATGACAAAATGATGGTTCATTGAATTGACCGAGGATACATTCAATACCTTCAATAGCAAAAAGAATTTGCTGCTTAACAAATAACAATTTTATAGATATTATGTTCAAAGTGTTTGAGTATTTGAGAGTTTGAGAAGTAAACAATGATAACGAGAGACAAAATCTGCATTATCTTTCGACCGTTTATTACTTTATCTTATCACCATCTCCATGAATTAGTCACAACGGTTACAATATTTAAATAAAAAAAGAGAATGAAAATGATGTCATGTATCTGTTATCATCAATGTGTAGATGAAAAAACAATGCCAACGATGAAATATATACGTCGAATAATATCTTCCATTTATTGATGATAACCCATGGCTTCGATTTAACACTATTACCTACCTGTTAATGTTCCGTGTCTTCCATGTGTTGATGCCAAGCCACAAAGTTTACAAGCCACACGGAATTCTTTCTTGAACTTTTCTGAAAAAAAATTTGACTGATATATTATGTTATAATGTTCTTATTTCAAATTGTCTGTATTTTTATATGTAATTCTTGCCCTATTTATACTTCCCAGACCAGTTGAATATTTGTTTAGTATCAACAAGTGGTACATTTGATCCCATTTCTATATTGGTCGACAATAAAATTTCAAATACTAGTTGTTAAAACGCTCCGCAGGCCTCGCGAATATGAAAGTTTAATTATTATAAGTGAATAAATATCGTATCACACTCGATGCAGTAGTAGAATATATATTCAATAGTTGCGTTTGTTCTATGGGGATATTCAGTTTATAGTTTTTTTATTAACCAAGAAGTAAAACTTTTCATAGTATGATACGACCATGTAATTAACTTACAACCAACGTTAGACTTGTGTTACAAGTGGTCAGTTCAATATGTATTTTTTTATTAGTGCTAAAACATTCTGGTTTCAATATCTGATATTTAAAATTAAACGGTTAATCATGAAATGATAGAACAATTACTTGTAAGGCAAGAAATTTGGTGAACGCTGCTATGATTTGGACAACAAACATTAAACTACATCATATCGACAAAGGCAAAATAATGATATAGTACTATGATATTTTAATATCAATATAACAGAAGAATCGTTTCAAATACGAAAATAATAGATATTGATGTGACTAAAACCATCGTAACAAAGAAGATTAAACTGCAGGACAATTAAATATAAAACAAGCGAATCTCTATTAAAAAGTACTGACTTTAACTAATCAAACTGCCTGTCTTATATAAAATCCGTATAACATTATGAAAAATCGAGTTTTCTAACCAGCTTGTATAGTAATCTACTTATCATGCTAATGTTACAGAAGAACCTACCACTCATAAAATTATAAATAACAGGATTGATTGCACTGTTGAAATAGCATAGAAGATGAGACGTTAAAGTTGTTAGAGCTAGAACATCTTGATTGGTCGTATTGGTCATACCCGCATATCTACAATCAAACAATAAAATATGGTACGTTATAGATACTACAATCACATCTTGATTGGTCGTTTTGGTCATACCCGCATATCTACAATGAAAAAATAAAAGATGGTACGTTATAGATACTACAATCACATCTTGATTGGTCGTATTGGTCATACCCGCATATCTACAATGAAAAAATAAAAGATGGTACGTTATAGATACTACAATCACATCTTGATTGGTCGTATTGGTCATACCCGCATATCTACAATGAAAAAATAAAAGATGGTACGTTATAGATACTACAATCACATCTTGATTGGTCGTATTAGTCATACCCGCATATCTACAATGAAAAAATAAAAGATGGTATGTTATAGATACTACAATCACATCTTGATTGGTCCTATTGGTCATACCCGCATATCTACATTTTTCATTGGCTATTATTCATCAGATCAAAAGAAGATACGACGAGATAGGTGTAAGAACAAAAAAGTTTGAAAGTCAAATCTTGTGAGTCGTTATCAAATATACAGTTCAAGCAAAATTAATACAGAAGGAGTGTTTTACTGCAAATAAAGCTAGACTGGGTGTGTCAACAGGGTCAATTAGAGGCAACTGTTGTTTACTGATGTTATAATATCAGGAATCCATTAAGAAGATACTTATCAAGGTAAAAAACAAAAATAGTGGATATCGCATGCACTAAAAAAACAAGCGAATCCAAGCGCCTCGATAAGGTAAGAGTTTACTGCTTCACATACTCGACTAGTCCGAGATTACTCTGACGTCCAATGGCTGTTTTGCCAGACTAGCTGGGGCCATTGGACGTCAGAGCTCGTCCCATATCAAAAGTGGATATTTGCCCGTCCAAAATAGATGCGCTGCTTCGTCGCTTTTGGTGCCAACGGACGGCCTTGGAATTATATAAATCGGGTATCAATTTGTTCATTTTTCATTTATCTCTTCATTTATGTAAGTTTTACCTACCTGCCACCCTTTATTTTCTCATATTTAGACAGTTTTCACAGTGACCCATCGATTCAGACATTTTTACTTTTTTTTTCAAATGGACGTCAAGTTACGAGAGATTTTGCGACCTCGAGACTCAAATATGCAAATATTTATACTTTTTTCACCTCCTTTATAGGAGATCGATATTTAACATTTAGTAGCCAACCACGATTTTTCACCTCCTTTACAGGAGATCGGTATTAAGCATTTAGTACCAACCACGATAACATTCGGAAGCTCTCGGATATTTACATTGCTTGCATCGTAAATGAGCGAGGTGTTAGATTATATATTCATATTGACCTAGGGTCATATGCATACATCATTTCCCATAGTCCATTGTGCCTTACTTTTTTCTCGTGATCACATGACAATCTTTCAAAATGAAAGTCAAAATGCCAGAATCGGTGGGTCACTGTGAAAACTGTCTAAATATGAGAAAATAAAGGGTGGCAGGTAGGTGAAACTTACATAAATGAAGAGATAAATGAAAATGAACAAATTGATACCCGATTTATATAATTCCAAGGCCGTCCGTTGGCACCAGAAGCGACGAAGCAGCGAATCTATTTTGGACGGGCAAATATCCACTTTTTGATATGGGACGAGCTCTGACGTCCCACGGCCCCAGCTTGTCTGGCAAAACAGCCGTTGGACGTCAGAGTAATCTCGGACTAATACTCGACTCGCTTTGCAAATTTGTTTTGTTATTGACATTCTTTTTTAAAGCTCGATCTGTCTCTGAAATTAATTCTATCAAAACTTTTGATTTTTTATAACCCTGTATGCCACCATTTCTTTTAGACGAATTTTCAATGTGTAATTGAAAATTCGTCTAAAAGAAATTAACCACAATGCTTTTCAATATAAAAATGGTAGCGTACGCTATTAATTTATTGTTTTGGGATACCATACGGAATATTTTGTTAATGGTGAGCAAATATGTAAAACATGCTACACAAAAGAACAAGTAATCAGTATGCTGGAATTTCTTATTGACAACATATTTGTTGAATTTGGATGCAGACTTTTTCAACAAATTGTTGGCATTCCTATGGGAACGAACTGTGCGCCTCTCCTTGTCGACCTTTTCTTATTTTCATAAGAGTCGGAGATCCTTCAGACACTTGTCAAAAACAAGAAGATCAAAGAAGACACATCCTTTAATTTCACATTCAGATATGTTGATGATGTTCTTTCCATTAATAATATTGTGCTATGCTCAATTTTGTATTTTTGCCTTTCATTTTTGCTTATATACTTTGTCTATAGAGTGTCTGTATGCCATTTTGTTTTTCTTTGTTGAAATAGTTATTTATTTGTATAGTGATTAAGATTATATTACAATGTTGACTGCTGTGCCCCAATTTTTGAAATTTTTATCAATTATGTCTGTTTGTTTTGCTCGCACATTGTTGTCAATATAATGGAATTCTATGCGACTGTCATACAACTGAGAGGTTTAGCTAGCTATAAAACCAGGTTTAATCCCCCATTTCCTGCATTAGGAAATGGCTGTACTAAGTCAGGTATACGACAGTTGTTTTCCATTTGTTTGATGTGTTTGAGCTTTTGATTTTACCTTTCTATAAAGAACTTTCCGTTTTGAATATCCCTTGAAGGTCGGTATTTTTTTGTTATTTTTGTTTTTAGCCATCGGCAGATAGTAAGTAAACTATTGAATTAAATAATTTCGAGTTCAAACTTTTGGACAGAAGCAACGTGAACTTTTTCGTATTTGACTCTAGATCGTATCTCATTAGTTTAAACATCATTATTCAAATTATTTAAACAGAAGTATTTTACACTGTTACAAGAACTGTCAAGCCGTCCAACGTTTACCCGGTTATTTGGTGGGGTTGTGTTATATAACTGTGTAGGGGTTTGTTGGCAGTTGTTCCTTTTGCCATGCATTGTCTGTTTTGTTTCTTAATTATGGCATCTTGTAATTTTTCTCTTTAAAAGGATTTTAATGGCTTTACTGTTTACAACTTTTAACACATCACATTGATAACGGGGTCTGTTCTATTCCTGAGAATGTCTCTTCCTGTTTGAAATATTCCTAGGATTGCATGATGGCTGGTGTATTCTAAGGTGTAGGTAATTACCCTGTTGATGTACCTCGTCTCGCTATGTTAGGAGTTCATTTGTATTATTTCACTCCTATGTAGGTCTGTTAATATGATCTGCTTCTGTGCAGAAAGATCTTATATTTTGTTTGAACTTAGGCACAAAAAGGACAAATTAAGAACTAAGGTATAAACATATCTATTGTGCAGTATTGCAGAAAAAATCGAGCTGTAACGATGTAGTTGAAGAAGCATCGATCGTTAGGTACTGTAAACAGTAGTCTCTGTAGCAGAAGTAATATCATTGTTGTTCAACTAAAATAATAATTAGATAGAAAATAACAATCAACCATAAATTAACAACAGCCATCCAACCACATAGACAATAAAGGACATAAAGACAAGCACGAAAGAGTATAAAACATCAATGGAAAAATCCGACCCTGTAAAACTACTAGATAAAAAGAGAGTGCAGATAACAATAGGACAATAAAACCGTAAGACGAATAAATTACAGCCCAGTAGTCAGCACTTCTGTGTTCACATAAATGGTCACTATTATGGTCATGATTATAAATTAACTGTCTAAACAATTTAGAATTTTTCGAAATACTTAGAATGTTCTACCCCGAGAATAGAAAAACTTAGCTGATTTTGGCAAGACATTTCATTTAAGAATTTTGGGTCCTTAATTCTCTTCACCTTCGTGCTTTATTTTGACCTTTTCAACTTTTTTTAATTCAAGCTTCACTGGTGAGTGTTTTTGTATACGAAATAATCGTCTGGCGTACAAAATTTTAACCCTGGTATATATGATGAGTTTATTTAGAGTCGATAGTAGTTTACCTCTGCTCAAATCTTATTATTCCATAAAGAATATACAAATCAAGGTAAAAACAAATATCTGAGGGATCGCGTTAACTCCGAAAGTGGCGAAGCAGGTTGCACCGAGATGCAAAACATCTACTGCTATTTATGCATCACCCACCAGTCAAATCTACCCATTTAGTAAAACTGTCACATCCAGGAAGAGGACACAATCGGTAATTTGCAGATCGACGACTATTTAAGAATCTAAATTTCTAGTTATATCTAAAAACAAGGCTACTGAGTTCTGAAACAGACCAGTTGCTATAGGAAAACTTACGTCGTGTTGATTTCAGTCAATATTTTCCATAACTTTGTTATGGAATAGAAGCGGAAGATATTAAAGGGATATTCAACCTCATAAGTAGATCAGTTTTTATGCAAAGTCATACCCAATTAATAATGTCCGTATAGTTTATAGATGCAAGAGTGTAACTGTTCAATTGAGATGATGAGTAAATGCCGTACGATAGGGCAGATAGTATACAGATGAATATGAAGTTTACAGGTTACACGTCTGTAAATATAGACAATGCAATTTCCCATAGGAACTCCTTTTACGACTAAAACTGCAACTTTTACTATGAAGTTTCGTTAAAACTTATATCCTAGAATGAAAAGTTCATATGTACTACTATTTTTTTCAAAGGTAAAAAAATAGGGCTGTGCGGCATATTTTCAACATTTATATGCCCCGAACTTTCAATATTTATAAGAAATATAGAGATCATATCTGGGAATTAGTACGTAAACAAAACAAAATATCTATGAATATTATATATATCCCCAAAAGAGGCGTGGTTTGTGAAACAGCTGTATTTACAAAGTGCAACCCATACTTACCTTAATTCAAATAGAAAAATCTTGGAAATACACTCATCATAGATACCAGGACTAAAATTTTACACTTACGCCAGACGCGCGTTTCGTCTACAAAAGACTCATCAGTGACGCTCGAATAAAAAAATATTTAAAAGGCCAAATACACTTTTTCTCACAACAATACTTATTTATGAGAATCACAGCTGAAAAGAAATTACTGAATATACTTAACTTTTCTTTACAGTATATTTTATACCCCCAGCCCTGTTTCAATTTTTAACGAATTTGAAAACAAGACTTTAAATATTGTCAGCTCACCTTTGTGCAT